CTTGTTTTAATTGTCAACTCACTGGATTCAGAGGTGACTGAGAGACACAGTTCTAGGTGAGTCTGTGAAGGTATTTCCAGAGAGATTTAGTCAAGAAGGGAAGACATACCCAGAGTGTTGGTGACACCATGTCATGGGTTGGGATTCTGAATTTAACATAAAGGAAAAAAAGGAGAAAACAAGATGGGCACCAACATTTATGCCTCTCTGCTCCCTACTGTGAGGCAATGTGACCAGCTACCTTACAATCCCACCGCCATGTTTTCCCACCATAATGGACTCCATCCCTTCTTAAAATGTAAGCCAAAATAATTCTCTCTTCCTTAAAGTTGCTTCTGGAAGGTATTTTATCACAGTCATGAACCGAGTAGTTAATTTGGTGAGCCTCACAGGTATGCCACCAGGAAAAACAGGCAGATGTTCCCAGGTTCTTTAGAATTTGTTTAAGGAACAGGGTAGATTTAGGAGCACACCATATTTAGACTTAATTCCAACACTTTATGGGCACCTGCCATTTTCCAAGCCTGTACCACATAAAACTATCTTACTTAGCCCCCCCCCCCCCCGTAACATCATCAGAATGGTGTCTGACTTGCAAACGAACAGAAATGCAATCCTCCAACTGATGCCCATTCAGAGGCGAGGCTGGCAGGCTTTGAACGTCAAGGTACTTGTATCTGAGTGATCCTATCACCTCTGCCGGTTAATTGTTCTCCGAGTCCATTGTACCCCACAATGAGAATAGCGGGATGTTTGTGGAAAACCATGTGTGGTGTCCCTTCAAGCCGGCCTAAGGTAATTATGAATTACTAGTGTGCGCCTGTGACAAACACTCCTAACCCCTCAAGGCGCTCAAGCCAGGGTCCAGGAATTATTCCTATGACTCAGATCCCTTCAGAACAGCATTTCAAGCAGTGCGAAGTGCATACTGATCAAGTAGCTCTTACCCAAAATGCCTGGAACCAGAAGTATTTTGGACTGGTGAATTTTTCATATTTCTGGAATATTTGTACATATATAATGAGATTTCCTGGAGCTAGAACCCAAATGTAAACACTAAATTCACTTCCTTTTCACGTACACTGTCTACTCACAGCCTGAAGATAATACACAAACAATACTGACTACCATCCACCACACAAGGTCAGGAATAAAGTTATTCACAAATTCAGGAAGCTGCATATTTGAAGGAATTTTGTATTTTGGTCTTGGAGATTAGTTTCCAGATTAGTAAAATGTATTTGTTTTACTGGCCAATCAACACATCCCTTGCTTGTGATCCTTCCTGCCCCAATTACAGCTTTAAGTCTCTCTTCTTCTTGTTCTGAGAACACAAAAGGTAAGCCTCAGTTGATCCTGAGAGCTGTCTTTACAAATCTCTGCCACCTCAAGGGCCTCAATCATGGTAGATTATACTGAACAGTTTTAGCGATTTGAAAGCAGTTGTAACTCTGCAGACAGTACAAACCTGCTTTGAAAATCAGAGAGCCAAGCAAATAAAGCTGCTGAGCAGATAACAAAATGCCTGTGAAATAGTATTCTGTGGGTATCACTGGGAAACGTACAGCGTGAATAGCCCAGGGAGGCTGATTCATAATGCCAGGTTTATAAGCATGAAAACACGGCTTGAGTAAATAATTCTGATTTTGCTTTTGATACTTACTGACGATTCTTTATTCCACTAAGGGGGAACCACACTGTTCCTTTAGCAGCATCTCCATTATTCTAATTCCCTATGGAGAGAAGAAAGAAAAATCAAAATGCCATCTTTCATAGACAAGCACCGTTACATTTGTCACAACCTTTCCCCCTCAGGGAATCCAGGTCCCAACCATATATCCATTGCAGAAGAGAGGGCTCAGTCATGCCTGACACTATTGTAATATTTCACTCCAAACCCCCCTTTTGCTTTCTCCGTATGCTCTTGGAGCTATTTGGGAGGTGGGCAGAGCAGAGTTTAGAATCCGCTTGCAACATCAGAAAGCAGCCCAAGCCAATGTAAGCAATGTCTCACAAGTGGCACAGCTTGCCAGACTTGGGATAATGGCGACTGTAAATGTTTGCCGAACTCTGAGAATTGTGCTGGTTTCCCTGCCAAGGTTCAAGCGTGTTGGTGCGGGCAGCAGGTGCTGCCATACCCCACTGAGATGCTCTCCAAGATGAAGGCCTCTTTCTGCTAGAGCCTATTATGGCCTGCTGCAGGCACAAGGACTTCTCAGCCAAGGCAGATCATCACCTGAGGTCATGCCCCCTCTCTGGGGCCAGCCCATAGCCTATGGTTGGTGGGTATGAAGATGTAATGGCTCCCTTCCCTCAACTGCAAACAACTCTGAGAGTATTGCACTCTTGTCACTCCACACGGCAGAGCCGAGCTCTTTGCTGCAGCTGTGTCATAGTTGGCCTCCCCTACTTCCCCCCTCAGTGCAGAGATGCTCCCTGGAGCCCAGAGCCCTCTCCAACATACTCCACATGCAAATCTGCACCTTTCTGACACCTTGTTTGAAACAGACAAAGCTGCCTTCCTAGTTAGAACACAGGTGTTCAAAGAGGGTTAAGTATGTGCCCAAAGCTCTAATGTGGTGATGCCAGGAAAAGCATGCACACACTGCTCTTCTGCACTGATCCTTCCATGGCCGCCCATACCACCCTGCCTACCAGGAGGAAAGAAGACAAAAGATTCCCCCTGCCCTACTTCACAGATCAGGTCTGCAGGCGAGAGAATAGCTTTCATGTACAAAGATGGGGCTGAGACATAACTGTGAGGTAGGGCCTTAAAGAGTGCAAAGCCCAGAAGGAAAGGGACCTGCTGTTCACAAAGACTAGAAATGCTGAACAATGAAATAGTAGCAATAAAATGAACTGAGTTCAAACTCCTAACTCATTTCTTTAAAAAGACCAAATATCAAACAAACAAACAAAACAAAACAGGTCAATCACACATCTATATTCCCATCACTGGGAAGCAAGGGAACAGAGACAGATAGATGAATATATGGGGTTCATCATTCAGCTATTCTAGTCAAATCCATGGGTTCCAGATTCAACCAGAGACCCATCTCAAAAAGATGTGGGGGAAAATATTGGTAAAGTTGCCTTACGGCAACCTCTAGCCTCCATATATATGCATATACATGTAAACCTTGGTTGCACATATGCATACCCAACATGAGCATGAACATACACCATACACACACACAAAGATATGTACACACCCACAACACACACATACACACACACACACACACACACACACACACACACACACAAACACAGATGTAAAGGACCCTTAATTCAGAACATGGCTGCTCTGGCAAGAGATTACATCCAGAGATCGTCTAGGTCTGTTCAGGCTGGCTGGAGTACAAACACGCCTTTAATTCATGAGACAGAGGCAAGCAGATCTGAGTGCAAGGCCAGCCTGGTATAGAGCAAGTTTCAGGTAAAGAAAAGCTTAGATAGATTCAGGCGTGATAGTACATGCCTTTAATCCCAAACAATGAAGGTAAAGTTAGTTTGTAGAAGGAAGCACCATGTTTTAAAGTGATGTCTAATTGATTGGTAGAAACAATAATGAATCAGAGAAAAACTTGATAGAATAGGGTATACACTCAACTCTCACGAGAAGAGGAAAGGGAAACTACTTAAGGGGCAATGAGAGAGAGAAGATGCAGTTTTTTACCAGGACACTAATAGAGAGACAGGTTAGAGAGAGAGAGAACTCAGGTGAAGATTGAATGAGCCAAAGAATGAGAAGGAACCAGAAGATTAGAAAAGATTGCTGGCGTTAGTTGGAGGCCAAGCAGAGCAATCAGGGGCTGAGAGAAAAGCCAGATTGAGTAAGTCAGCTGGGAGAGGAGTTGGAGCCAGAACAGCTAAGTTGAACCAGCCAGCACAGAGCTCAGTAAGAAAAAGAAAGGGTGAGCTTATTAAACAGTAAGTCTCAGAGGCTGAAAATGTCCTAGGCCTAGGTTAGATTGTATGGAGGCCAGAAGCCTCCAGGACTAGGCCTAGGTGAGCAGAAGGTGACAGTAAGCCTCCAAGACAACAGGCAAATAAAAATTCCTTTTACACATACACATACACACACATATATACACATACATACATTACACAAACACGTACACACGTATACAAACATTCATGTCCACACATACACACATACATACAAATATCCTTAATACCAAGGCAGAACAAATGAGATACGATCCTGAAGGTCTTTCCAGTTGTGCCAGGGCCATCACCCCAGATAACACTGCAGCTTTAGAGAGAAGCAGCATTAAAGGGTCCATGCAGAGGCAGAGAAGCACGGCTCATCAGATGAACCAGTGCAGCGAACCACGAGTCCAGTAGCACAGTCATCAGAATCAGGAGACTTGGACCGTATTTAGAGCCGGCAATCACACACACATACACTCACTCACACACACACACACACACACACACACACACACACACACAATTAAAAATAAATCTTAAAAAGCCCCACTGCCCTAAAGCATTGGGAGGAAGTGGTGGGAACCAGGGGTGCAAAAAGCTGGAAGGATAAAATCCAACCAAATTCTCAGAACCAGACCAAGATGGTGTTCCCCTCTGTTCTCATTTAAATGTTTACTGTGTGCCTACTATGCGAATTGGATAGTAAATGGTGAACAGCTAAGATAAAGTGCCTGCCCTGACAGAATTTACAAGGAATTTTCTTTCTCATTTCAAGTTTTCCTTGTTCCAACAACCCCACTAAATAATTAATTGTCCTCTTGTTTTCCAGGAAGAATGAAAACTCCCACATAAATTCCTTTTCAGCTTCTTCGGAGTACACATCCAGATGATATGTCTTTAAAACAAGTAATGCACATTCCTCCCTGGGAAGGCAGAACTAACCCATGATCCATCTCATCCATCTAAATTAAGACCCCCACCACTTACTGGGCCACTAACTGACATAAATAAAGATTCCGAGGTTTGCCCTGGGAATTCAAAGACGTTATTTATTGAATCAATTATGTTCGCAATGTGACAGTTGATTTTTCTTTCCCTCTTTTCCCCTCTTATACGACTTTACTCTTAAGAATAACAGTTAGATTTAGAAAGAGGAGAGTGAAGGCAAGAAAAAGGCTTACAAAGTAAATTTTTAAAAAATCCTAACAGGTATGACAGTCATTACTTGGCGCCCCTCTTTAGTAAGGAGGGGCCAAATCAAAGCCCAGCTGATAGTACTTTCAAATAAAGTTCACTCTAACACTCAAATCTCATGTCCCGAGAGCTGCTTAAAGACCCTAAATTTATACCCCTTATCACACAATGAGGCCTCCATATGGAGCAAACATTAAGTGCATCACCTTTTAGATATACCTTAAAAGCTTTTCGGACTGACAAAGCATAAACCCGCTTGCTCTCATCATTTCTCTAGCCTCAGGATGTTTTATTTTCTATATCACTAGGCTACCTTTCCCCATTTGTCAGTGCACAGGCACATAAGCCACCTCAGGGTCACATGTCCCTAATGCCAGGAGAGCGATGCACTCTCATTCTCTAGTCTGGGAGACTTTCAGGTTCAAAACCCTTCACAAAGAGCACGCTCCATTCCTGAGAAAGCGCTGATTATTGCTGCAAGATCAAAGCCTGTCTCCAGGAGAGAGAGAACCAAAGGTGGCTAAATTCAAACAGGGTGTTTATTTTATAATCAGGCTGACACTCCCTTAAGAAGCTCTGATTTACCTGGGAGGCTCCAAAGGGAGTCATAGTAGAGCCTACCAAAATTACAACATCAGAGCAGTTCCCCAAAGGCATGCCCCACGCAGAGCTCTTAATAAAGGAGATGCTCACTTAATTATCACAGTGATAAAAAAAAAAAAATTGGTGTCAAAGACCCCACTGGAGATAACTCCTTCTTGTGGTTCATGCCTTTAGAGCAAATACTGCCTGTGCTGGCTAAATTTTTGTCAACTTGACACAAGCTAGAGTCATCTGAAAGGAGGGAACCTCACTTGGGAAAATGGTTCTATAAGGTTGGTCTGTTGGTAAGCCTATAGAATATTTCCTTTTTTTATTTTTTATTTTTTTTCCCCCAGAACTGAGGACAGAACCCAGGGCCTTGTGCTTGCTATGCAAGCGCTCTACCACAGAGCTAAATCCCCAACCCTAGAATATTTTCTTGATTGATGAAGAAGGGCCCAGCCTATTGTAGGTGGTGCTATACCTGGGCAGGTAGAATTAGAATGTATTTAAAAAAAAAAAAAAAAAAAAACCTGAGCAGGCCATGAGAAGCAAGACAGTAAGAAAGCATTCCTTCATGGCCTCTCAGTTCCTGCCTCTGGGTTGCTGCCTTGAGTTCCTGCCCTGACTTCCTTCAATGGTGGGCTGTGCTGTGGAAGCAAAATAAACTCTTTCTTCATCACCACAGTAGAAACCCTAATTAAGATGCCATCCATAGTACCAGCTGCCACTGTGTGTATGTGGCTGCAGACAGCAGCACCCAGAGGTCATGGTCTCATGGAAGAATGAAAAACTGAAAGGTGAGACAATCTCTGAGAAGTGCTGTAACTTACAGAAGAAAAAGAGCGTGAAAAGGAGAGACATGGGTAAACTACCCAGTCTCGTTATGAGTCACTGGTACCAGAGAAGGTAGAAGGGGAACACGGGGGAAAGGCATGGGAGCAAGGAGATGCACACAGCACTTTCACTGTTACTCAGTTACCACAGGAAACTGGACAGAAAGGAGAAGGAAACAGGATGA